TTTTCTTTTTTTTTCAAACATACATAGTTCAAAGAATTAAAATTTGTTAGTTGCAATAATCTAGAATTATTTAGATGAATATAATGTAGGGAAATATTGTGTCAGGCATTTCTTCAATGTACTGGAGTGAGAAGAAAAATCTTGACACAAATAAGGAGATTTTTAAAGAAATTTGTAACACAGCCCTTTCTAAACCAATTCTCCTGCAAAAACAAGTCATTTGAATTGCGATGGTTTTCCTTTTTTAGCTTTTGATTATTTTTCTTTCTAGGAAAATTACTTAAGAGCTGCACAATGATTTATGAAATTTCGATTGAAGGAAATTCCTTTTCCACTTCTTGTGCGTTGTTTTATATGAATTTTTTAGGTTTTCATGAGAGCAATACGCCTTCAAAAACCCTGCCTTTTGGTAAAATTGTTGCACTGGGCTCCTTTTTCTGGGACTACGTGAAAAGTATGGTTAATACTTAATAAGTCCGAGACAATTCCAGTGTTGCCAGAGGAATAGTAGTGGGCATCATATTTCATATATAAATGCCATAGACAAAAAAATTGAAAATCATTTCACAAATTTTGTTGTGTTTTATTTATAAAAGAAATTATGCGGTCTTATTGAATCACCCTGTATGGGTATATGAATGTGAATTCCTATTGCGGTCAGCTTAATTTTGTTAACATAACCGCAAATACCACAATCGACTACTTCTACAGCTTTAAGTTCTTGTAACCACAAGCTATGTACAATTGTGGTGAAAGAAATGCCAAACAGAAGGATTTGCAAATTCAAAAGTTGAGAAATACATATCAAGGAGGTTGTAAATATCTATGTATATGTATTTAGATAATAATAGATTTTGTATAGAGGCTCAGAAAATTATATAAAATTTTTTTTTACACTTTATCTTTAATAAAAAAAATGTTTTTTTATTTTAAAAAATTAAATGAAATTAAAGCTTTTGCATTATATTGCTGACCACACACACATCGAGAGTGTGTAGCCAATCAGTTTATCCCCATCATATTGATCGACTAGCATTGCTTCGAAATTTCAATTTTGATGCTAATGACAGTGACGTTGATGTGATGTGATGCGGTTTAGGACGTCAATACAAACACGCCTGCACACTGCAACGCGGAACAATTACAAACACTCACACATACATAAATACATATGCACACAAATCCTTCCATATTGTTGCCCAAACAAACCCAAAAAAACCGCTCCAAATTTTCGGCTGCCACAGTTCTCAAATGGATGTTCTATCCTTTATAAATGTGTGTGTGTTTGAACATGTCATATATATTGACGTTAATTTACTGACACTCAGTGCAATGTAATGGCGACATAAATTAAAAATGCCACTCGATGTAATTGTTCGAAAGTGGTTGGCGCAAACGTACATAAATGCGCAAATCTATTCGAGGAAGAGTTCAAACAAGCTGAACATAGATAGTATTCGTAGTTTCCGATGTGTTTGTCTGCTTGAAGTGTGTGTGTTCGCCATTTGTTGGTAGGTATTGTTGTCGTTTATTGCATTTATTGTTGTGCATAATCCCCTAAAGGGCTGCTAACATTTGTATCCTTTGCACGATTTGCTAGTTTGGGCAGTTTTTGTATATGTTGATTTAGCATTTGGCTTCGAATTGACTTTCATACATTTAAACATGCATAAATGTGTACATACACAGGAACATTTTACGCTTTTCATAGCCTGTACACATTCTCCGGCGTCCTGCGTTCGGTTGCGTACAGCTTGAAATGCGTAAAATTGTCCTAGAAATTGGTGGCATGGCGTGCAAAATTAACAAAAATATATTTGTACTAAGCCTAATTAGTGCATCAGGCCGAGGTACTACCAAACTCAATTGGTTTCAACCTTGAAAAAGGTTTGAAAGGCGTATTTCTAGCTATCTTTTGAGACAGCCAGGTGGCCAATAAGGTCCTTTCCAATAGGATGATCACTCCAGACTCGTCAAGTAGTTATTTGGTACTCTCGAACTCTTGGCAGCAAGGAGCACGGTACTATTGTGCTCAGTATTAGGACAATGCGGAATCGCAGGTACTTGTGGAACCGGAACCGTTTCATGGAGTCATAATTGAAGCGTCGGTAAACTCAGAATGCAATAAGTACTCGGCCGCTTTAGAGAGGCTAGATTTTTGAAGTGAAACTTCTTTAGCGGCGGTCGGTTGGTTGGGAGTAAATTGGCAAATTCAACGGAATTTGTGCAACGGAAATGGTTGGGACTGAAACAAGTGCTTCTTGAGTGTATGCACATTGGATTAATTTAACAAAAACTTGCTAATAAAATGTTAAAGATTAACACTTGGAAAAAGACCAATGCAAGAATGAAAGTAAAAGTGAGTACGTACATAGACAAAAAAAGGATAAGGGCAAAAGTACAAATAAAAATAAAACCAAAGCTGTGTAAAATAAAAGAAAAAATGAAGACCACGGTAAATTTAAACACTTTACTTATATAAAGGCAAAGGTGAACGGGAATATGGAGATGAAGAAAATGATAAACATAAAAGTAAAAACGAAAGCAAATATACAGAAAAATATGAGGATGAGGATACCGACAAAAATAAAGATAAAGATAGAAGAAGAAAGATGAAAATAAAGGTAAATATAGAGAGAAAGATATATAAAGATATTTTGAAATTTTAGAGATTTTCGAGATTCTTGGAACTTATCGATATAATAATCGATATTTTTAACGATTTTGTTATCGATATTATATGGGATTTTTTTATCGATTTTGTTATCGATATTTTTGTCGAATTTGTTATAGATATTTTTATCGATTTCGTTATCGATATTCTTATCGATTTTGTTATAGATTATTTATCGATTTTGTTGTCGATTATTTATCTACTTTGTTATCGATTTTCTAATCGATTTTTGTTATCGATTATTAATCGGTTTTTTTATAGATATTTTTACCGAATTCTTATCGATTTTGCTACCAATAGTATTATCGATTTTGCTACCGAAATTTTTATCGTATTTGTCATCGATTTAGTTATCGATATTTTTATCAGTTTTGTTAACGATATTTTGTTGGATGTTACTATCGATTTTGTTATCGATAGAGTATAAAGATAAAGGAAAACAGAATAACATAAATTTAATTAGAACGACCAGGGGTAGAGGTAGGGATCTAGATAGAACAACGAGAAAAAATATGTAATCTTAAGCAAAAACAGATGTATGTATGTGTGTACATATGTATGAGTATTGGTTATTAGACAAAATAGATTGCAACGTAAATTTCACTTCTCCAGTGTGGCCCAGGCGCACTTACTTTCTTCAGTTATCCTTTCGCTAGAATCACTTGCGCTGTCACGCACACCGGTTTGAGCTAAATAGCCGCAGGGATGGATTGATGTCGTTGTTTTGAAGAGAAGGAACCATCGGAGGTTAATACACTGGAAATAGCCACGTAGCTTGATGAATATATTTATGTTTCGTTGTAAGGACTGGCTTTAAAATCCCAGAGTAGCACGATTTTAATATCGCGCGTTCCAAGTGCCCTGAGAGGAAATTTTTCATCGCATCAGTTTGACAGCAATCGGCGGTGGGGTCTTTCTCCGACAACAAATGCTGCACCGAATTTTTGCTGCTTTACATGGCAGCTGTAGTAGTAGGCATCTCAAGGACCTAAAGTTTACTTGCCTTGTCTCGTTCAGCACATTTCGTGGATGGCGGTGATATCAGCCTTAGTGTTCCCGAAAATATCAACCTGCCATCGATAAGCACCTTCCCCATCAAGGGGCCAGATATTTCAGGTGCGTGGCCTCAAATCATAGCCCACATTGTTAAACGCTGGCCATGGCCATGACGTCCAAGAACTCAAACGAAACTTTTCTGAACATTTTTATTGGAAAGAGGTTTTTACGTAGCGTGTTCTAAACCCAGCGTAAAACAACCTGAATCTAAGGAAATTTTTGAGAATGGATGTAGACAGTAAACCGCTCCTTGAAGTCATGGGGAACAGACGTCGGAGTGGCGCCACTAAAGCTACCTCTCTTTTCAACGGCATCCAAAGCGCCACACGGATATGTTACCGCATCTTGCATATAGGATGCTCACGTTTCCCAGTGTGCACGACCTAGGACGCAAGAGTCGGGATTGAGTATAGCAGTGCGATTGTAACTGCATACCCAGAACCACGAAGTATGATTATAATTTCCTGCAGGGCGTGAATGAATTAAGACGATATGAGTGTAAGTATTTTAAAATTGAAGGGCAATTGTTCTAATTGATTACCACTGTAAAGTTTGCTTACTCCACCCTTTCTGAACTCATACTCATAAATTAACGGACGCATTGAATTGAGCAATTAACACTTCCGATAATTAAAAATTAAACACTAAATTAAAGAAACCCCAGCGTTGCTCAAAAGATTCCAATTCTATTTATAGTTGTCATAAACTTGATACAAATTTCAATTGGCTAAAAATAGTTGCAAGAGCTACATATGTACTTATTTTCACTTGCCTACATTCACTATAGCGTACCCGCGCACACTCAGTTAAAAAGTGCGAAATTCCAAGAAAACAAA